AACTTACGGCACGTACCCGAAACTTACGGCACGTACCCGAAACTTACGGCACGTAGTCGTACTTTCCTTACGACCCGTAACAGTATAAAAAGGGAAGGGAGCGAAACCTAGAACTCCAAACAACAGCAGACGGACAATTTCTGCTTCCACGCTCAGCTACCTGTGAGATCCCAGCCTTAGGATGGTAGGTGGACATTGTTTTTTAATTTTCAACTCTTTCAGCTCTTGCGCTAATATACTGCACTGAGAATTTGTTATACAAAATGTTATGCTGTGTATGATTGGGCAGAATTGACCTGGTTCATGTAGCATAGTTTGATTCGTGAAGTCTGTAGAAGTAAGTTTCTTGGTGTCATGGAACCAAGGCCACGAAAGAATGTTCTGGCATCATTGCTTTGCAGCCTAAAAACCTGTTTATTTAAGCTATGAATTTATGGGCATTCTGTTTCCCAGAGGATTATTCATTTACTCAGACTTCTGTGTTCATGTTTTCGGTGTTTTAATGGAGTCATTTTTTGGTATGTAGTGTAGCAGGAAAGTTGTCAAAGAATGGATGTTTTGGAATCATTGCATGCGGTCCAGAAACAACATTTTATTTAACAAATTAATTAACGGGAGCACTGTTGCTACCAAGGATAATTCATTTACTTGAGTTCCTGTACTTTTAGGTATGTAGAATAGGAAGAACATCCTTATTTCATTGCATACAGCCCATATTTTTTTTTAAAGAGGCATTCTGTTGCTACCCAGGACTATTAATTTCCTTGGATTTCTGTGCTTGTTTGAATTATGGTTCATTTTTAGGTATTCAGTGTAGTGTGGACCGTTTGCAAACATTCTTTGTTTTTGCAGTTTCCACACAGGCAACTGGGGGTCGTTGTGGCAGCCGTCCTGTTCGGTCTTTCGTCGGCCTCTGAAGGTTGTCGCGCACCTCAATGTATTTTTTTCAGCCATCATGATTGGTGTTAGAGAACCCATTTTCTGTCCACCTGAATATTTGATACAATGTTTATCTGTATCAAAATAATGTGAACCATTTCCATACACTGTCATAAGACCTTGTTCCTTTATCACGTCCCCCCTCAGGATTAGGTGGAAACGCCCTTCTGTTTCCCAGCGAGACCGACTACAGCTATGTCAAACTAGTGCCCCAGAAACCCTTGCAGCTGCAAG